GCGTCCCAACTCCCCAATAGGCCCTGCTCTGAGCCCGACCAGGGGCTGCACCTAGGGATTGGGCCTGCCCTCTGCCACCCGGGAGCAGGCCTAAGCCAGCAGGTCGTTATCTCCCGAGGGGTCCCAGACTGCAAGAGGGCACAGGCCGGGCTGAGGGACCCCCCTCCCCCCCGAGTGCACAAATTTTTGTGCACCGGGCCTCTAGTGTATATATATATATATATATATATATATGTTTTAATCACCCAGTCAGTCCACACACGTGAAAACCAGCACAGCCCAGGGGCTGTATTGTAACCAGCAGCCAGGGTTCTAATGAAGGCAGAGCAGGCATTGATGGAGAGAACAGTAAGGGAGGTGCCCTTGCTGTCACTGTAGCAGGTGGGGAACCTGGGCTGAGCTGCACAATCCCTCCCCTCCCCCACAGGGAATGATGATATCAGTGTGATCTCTGGGACTAAAAGCAAATCAGCTGAGAGAAGCTTTAGGCCTGGATATGCCCCTTGTGGTCTCTGCACCTTCCAGCCAGGGGTTGGGACTAGACTATTTCAGATTCAGGTGGTTGAGGAGCTCAGATTCCTCTCAGGTGTCAAGGCTGGGAGCAGCAGTGGCAGCTGGGCAGGTGGGTGTGGGCAGGCAAAAGCCCAGGGCAGTTGCCAGGGAGAGTTGGTGCTGGGCCATGTGTGTGGCTCTGAGGGCCTCTCTAGTCCTAGAGCAGGCTGGTGGCTGCTCTGTTCTTTGGGACCATGGTTAGTGAGAAAGGGAGCAAGCTCTGCTGCATATGTTACCGGAAGGTCATGACCTGGGTGCCAGCATGGGCGCCAAGAAAATTCGTTTTTAATGAAATTGGATAGATTGTGTATATTCTAGCATAGACTGATTTTTCTCTTAATGTGCGATTGTTATATTAAAAATAAAAATAAAAATTCTAATGGCTGGAATGGCTCTAATGTTTGAATATCTTCCGATGCACAGAAAGGTTGCCCATTCAATTCCTGGTGATGCACAAGCTAGGTTTTCTGACTGGATGCCCAGTGGGTGGGTAAAGGGCAAGTGGGAGGCAGCTTATCCGGGTTTCTCTCATTCCCTGTCCCTTCCTCTCTTGAAAAAAACTCAAATTATTTGGATTTAGATTTGTACTCTTCAGGAATTATGAAAGAATACTTTATACCTAAGCGACATTCTCAGCTTCACGGAATCTGAAATAATATCTCAAAACAAGAGATCAGTTGCAGACATTTCCCAGAAACCTGAGACCACCCCAATAACCTAATGTTGTCATTTCCCAACACCACTCAGGCACCCACAAACCAATATTTGCAATGATGGGCCAGTGACAGGGAACGGAATGCCACCTGTGTGTCCTGGAGAAGGACATTACCCAAAAGGCATTGCACGTAATGATGACTGGGTTTAGCCAATGAAAGCCCAGGACAGGCGCGTTATCCTAGTGCTCATTGGTTTGGGTGTGTCCTCCTGAGTCTTTCTCCTGATGGTCCTTTTGACCTTTTTGTTCTGTTGACATAGCCAGAAGCTCCAGAGTGCTGAGCCACAACGGGGACTAGGAGTGAGTGGCAGTGTCCCCACTTTTCAGGGGTGTGCCTGAGGCTTGTTGATCCCCAAAAGGTGGTATGGAGGCCTCCTTCCCACCAGGCTCCTCTTTGCTTACAGAGTTCAACTCGGCCTCACTCCATTTACCCTCCAGCCTCAGGTGCTGGTGCCTATCAAGTCCTCTGCAGTCAAAGTCACAGCGTCCTGAACCTTGAGTCGCTTGTGATTGATACAAGGTGTGTCAGGTGTAAGAGGGTGGCAGGCTGCAATTCCACCATGTAAGGAGGTGGTTATTGTGGCTGAGGTGGGAAGATTTGGGAATCTTGGGCCTGTTTTGTGTCTAAAGGCAACAGAGAGGATGATGCTGTTTTGCATGAGACATTTGAGTTTCATTCTCAGGAAGCTGGGGATATCGATGGTGGAGAATAAAATGGGGACATTATCTGAGGTAGGGTTCTAAACTTTTCCCAAAACTCCTCAGAGGAAGAACACACTAGAAGAGAGAGGATAGCAGTTGGGGACAGGAAGGAGAAGTCCTTTGAAAGATAGCAAACTTGGCAAGAGTGTGCACTTAGGACTGAGGCCCTGAGTTAATGCAGGCATCTGAAGGTCACTTGGCCTCTGGGCTGGGCAAGGGTACCAAACAGCCTGAACCCCTAGATCCTGGCAGTGTTTGCCAGGCTCTCAACAGACCGTTTTCTTTACACGAATTCCTACTAATGCAGAATCGGTTATGGTAGGTGTACTGGTTTATGGAGCTTATTTCAGGGCCTCATGTACTTGTGGCCTCTGAGATAGTAGTGCCCTGGGACTGTCCAGCCTCTCTTGTAGCCCTGGGACCTGGGTAATTTGAACAGACACTAAGCCCAGAATCCTAAGGCCACAACTAGGGCTTCATGCAGTGGCCCTAGTTTCTGGCAACCAGTGTAATGAGTGGGAGGTCCTCCAGGGCATAGATTTCAGAATGTGCAAAGGCTAGGAGTGAAGAGTGAGCTGATTCAGGAACTTGGAGGTATGTTCTTGGAAAAATACATACATACATACATACATATATATACACATTTTTAGATGTAGAAAAGAAGGGAGAGTGAGAGAGACTGAGAAACAGGGATGAACAAGAAACAAGGATCGGCTGATGCCTGCACAACCCCTATGGTGGATCCAGCCCACAACCCAGGCATGTGACCTCACCAGTGCATGACTCTGTGTTCAAACGAGACACATCAGCCAGGACTGTACATCACTTTAATACAGCGAATCATGGTCAGGTTGGTAATGGTAGGTAGTATCTCAGAAGGGACGGTGTGAGCCCGAGGACTGGCTTTCCTGCTGGGGCCACTGTGGGAGGTGGGTGTCACAACACAGCTTAGGGACCAAACTGTCATGTAGAGTGTTGGGGAGAGAGAATCGTTTTGCAGTGGCCAAGGTCTTTAAAAGATGATTGGACCTGAGATTAAGTAGAGGCCAAAGAGTCACTCAAACTAGATGAGATTGGGTTGGTACATATTTACTTCTCTGAATACTCACCAGGATATTGTTGTGATCCTCAGTGTGGCCTGGCTGAGGGAGTAACAGTCAGTCTTCTAGATTAGCTTAGCGGCTTGAATGGTCATCTGTGAGACTCACTGGGCATGGTACAGAGGGCAGCACAGCTGGGAATTGAGTAACGGTTTAGTGGAGAGATGTTGGCTGTGACTGGTGAAAGGACTTCAAATGCAGCACCAGGGGAGGTTGGCTCTTGTATCTGAGATCTGACTCTGGTTCTTCATAGGTTAGATTGAAGGAAAAACAGTCATGGAGAGAGAGGCCTTCATAGTAGGAATCAAAAATGCCTCTGTGTGTGTGGACTGTCAGTGTCTGGACAGTACTGATCCTGTTTGAATTTGGCAAGCATTCTCTGGACCACGCATGCTGAGTAATAAGTAAGAGGGCGAGGAGAGGACTATGGAGGCCCGAACTGTGGGAGTGCAGGTGTGAGAGAGGCGTGGTAGAAAGCATGAGGAGCACTTGGAGAGGAGTGTGACTTCATGGCCAGAATGCCCTGACATTGACATAGGAGTGCATGAAGGGAGAGTCCATTTCTGGTGGAGTCTGGAAGATAAAATAAGGGTAATTTTAGGGTAATTGCCCGAAAAGAGGGGTGTTTTGTGCTACCTGCCAGGTACAGGGCTTAGATGACATTTATCTACCCACCAGCCTTTTGTTGTTGGGGGTGACACACTCATTGTTAGGAATGAGATAGTTAGGAATGAGATAGGAATGAGGATGAGGCATGGGAGGCAACAGGCAGGTTTGAGGCCTGCTGCTTCACACAGTCCTCTCTGCTACAGAGTGTGACTCAGCCTCACCCCATTTATCCCTCCAGCCTTGCCTGCGGGTGTGTCTCAGGTCCTGCAGCCCTGGTCGCTGCATCCAGAACAGTGAGTTGCTTGTGGGTGACACAGGGTGTGATGGGATGAAGAGGTTGACAGGGTGCAATGCCACTGTGTAAGGACTGGGTGGTATGACTGAGCCAGGAGGATTCGGGAAACCCAGGCCTGTTTTGTGTCTTAATGCAGCCAAGAACATGAGGCCAAGTTTTCCATGATGAATTTTACTTTCCTTCTCAGTGTGGATGAAAAGGGGCCACATGCTAACCCGACTATCTCAGGGAGCGCCAACATGGCCGCCATGCAAACTCAGAAACCTAAATAACCCCAAAGTAATTAAAACTTTTTAACTAAATGCAGTTTATGACCAGTAGTCATAAACTTTATGGCTATATTCTTTTCTGACAAAACTCAATCTTTACCTAACTAAGCCTGTCTGTTTTTGTTTTGTTTGTTTGTTTGTTTTGCATCGGTGGTAACATATTGTTGGAATGTCAGGGTAACATGTAACTTCCCTTTTTCTGGACCCTTTAGGGACTAACCAATGGGCCAGGGTGGAGACCACAAATTCACTCATTGTTATTGTTATGCTGTTAATTAGTGACTGTTAACTATCCTGTAAAAACCTATGTACAACAGCATAGGTCTATCATTTTACTTTTTATCTAATCCCAGAGGTTTCCCCACTTTACTTGCTCTTGCCTCCCATGTCTATCACCATTGGATTTCATGCAGCCCACTCACACCTCCTCCTTTGATTGCAGTGTAAAAAAATAGGGGGGAAAAAACCAACATTCTCTGGAGCATTATCTCAATACTTTGAGATTCTACTTTTGGCCAATTGTAGTCAGTTTTGCTAAAATAAACTCAGAAAAATTCTTTCAAGTTTTGAATGCTTGTTACATTAATATCAGGAAAGTGGGGCCATCCATGATAGCGACAAAAACAAGGGATATGGTCTGAGATAGGGTACTAAACATTTACCCAAAATGCTCAGAGGAAGAACAGACTAGAAGAGAGAGGAAACCAGTTAGGGACAGGAAGGAGAAGTCCTGTAAAAGTAATGCATCTGGCAAGAATGTGCACAGGACTGAGTCCTGAGGTAATGCAGGCATCTCGAGGTCACCTGGCCCTAGGGCTGGGTAAGGCTACTGGGCAGCCTGAGTCCATGGATCCTGATGGTGGTTGAAAGGCTCTCAACAAACCTTAATTTTTCCACAGATTCCTGCAAATGCAGAATCACTTAGGGGTACTGGTTTGTGGAACTTATTTTAGGGCCTCCCACTCTTATAACCTAAGCAATAGTAGTCTCCTGGGACAGTCCTCTCCTTAGACCTGAGGACCTCAATCAGACACCAAGCCCAAAATGTTTAGTCCAGGTCCCTGTTTGGGGCACAAGTGGAATGAAAAGTTGTAGGTCCTCCCAGGCATAGGTCCCATAATGTGCCATGGCTTGGAGTTAAGATTGAGCTGGTTTCAGAACCGGCAGGTATTCTTTCTAAAAAAACAAATGGGAACAGGTAACAATGGGACAGAAGTCAGGTCTAGAGGAACTTTGTGACAACTTGGGTGTCTGTTTTGCATGTTATGGGAGCAATGGGAGATTTGGAGCAGTGGAGGCAGGTGATGTGACCAAGGTCTCCTTAGATGTGTGGCTGCAGCATAATGGACAATATGGGCGTGAGGGAGGTAGTAGAAATAGTAGGACGATAGTCTTAGTGAGGGTGATGGGAACTGGCCCATGATGGTGACTGTGGAAGTGGAAGAAACAGTTGCATTATGGATTGGTGTTTTAGGTGTGGCCACCTAAATATTCTAATTTTCAGGATGTGAGAGAGAGAGAGAGATAAGAGTCAGAGAAGTCGTGACATTTTGGATTTAGCAGCTGCAGGTGTGGAAGCACCATCCACTGAGATGGAGAAAATCATAGTAAAAAAGTAATATTCATTGGGAATACAAACACTTTTCTTTTTAGCCTGTTAGAGTCTGAGATTTCAGAGAGCAGTTCATGAGTATCTCCAGCTCTGAGGGGTAGTTTACGATGAAGACTTCTTCAAAAGCTTGTGGAGAATTATGGACCAGTAGGAGTTTAGATGATTTTTTAAAATTGGAGGCTGAAGAGTAATTCAAACAAGTTGAGACTGTGGCTGGTGCATACTTACTTCTAAAACATCCACCAGGAACTTTTTGTGCCATTGGGTGTGGCCTGAGGTGTTGCAGTCAGTCTGGTTGATTTGCTTAGGGCCATGAGGGGTCATCTGTGAGACTCACTGGTCATTGGGTAGAGGCCAATAGGTGATGGGACTTGAGTGATGAAGCCTGTGACTGGTGAAGGGAAGTCAGGTGCAGCACCAGTGGAGGTGGGCTATGCTCATCTGAAATGTGATGTGGTTCTCAGTAGGTGAGGTTGAAGGAATAAACATTCAGGGAGGGAGGTCTTAGCAGGTTCAAGACTGTTGCTATGACTGTGGACTGTCAGAGTTGATGGAACCCTTGATCTTCTTTGAATTTGCCAAGCATTCTCTGGAACACACATGCTAAGTACTGAGTAGAAAACCCAGGAGATGGCTATGGGGGCTGTGTCTCTGGGAGTTCAGGAATGAGAGAGGTGTAGTAAGGAAGAGTGATTGCACTTGGAGAGGGAGTGTGAATTCATGGCAGCAGGGCACCAATATTGACATATGAGTGAATGAAAAGGGCATCCATTTCTGATGGTGTCTTTATGATTTAATACTGGGAATTTTAGGGTAATATGATTAAATATGATTTAATACGGGGAATTCCTAACAAGATGGGTTGCTGTGGTGCTACATGCCATTGCCAGGGTTTAGGGGCTGTATATCTCCCCACCTGCCATTTCTTGTTGAGGGCTGACCCAGTGAACAATAGGAATGAGAGAGCATACATCAGTGTCACTTGCACTTGAAAATCTCCACCAGCATGGGGAAATGAGAAGAGAGAAGAATCAGAGGGAAATATATTATAGAGGCGGTGAACTAGAATTTTGAAAAAGAAGCTGATTAGGAAACACCTTGTCCTTGTCATGGCTTACTTGTGTTCCCAGTGAAGTTGTGCCTTGAGAATGAAGCTGTGAGACAAGTGTGGATCAAAGAACTATGGGCAGCAGGTAATGCAAAGTGATGACCTCAGCAAACTGGGATTGGAGTCAGAAGTGTAATGGGCATTACCATGTTGTTTGGTGTCTTGGAGGGACAATTTAGAGGACAACATGGGTTTTGCCTGACAAGATCAGTGTCAAATCCATCACATTCTCTTTTTGTACAGCATCGCTTCCTACTCTATGTTCCTGGCACCCACTGCTATTGAAAAGGGGCAGTGTGACTCACATTTGAGGGTCAGAGCAGACACAGCATCAGTAGGAATATAAGGAGAGATTGACTTTGATGGGACCAAGGCCTGCTATCTTCTCTGATCTGGGGAGTAGGGGAGCAGATGGATGTGCAGGGTGGAGAGTATGACAAGCTTGGAGTCTGAAGAGAGAATCTTATCATGGGATGTACTGTCTCTATTATGACAGGATATGAACTTTGAAGACATGGCCATTGCCTTCTCTCAGGAGGAATGGGAGATCCTTGATGAGTCTCAGAGACGTCTGTACTGCAATGTGATGCTGGAAGTGTTTGCATTTGTATCATTCGTAGGTAAGACCTTCACATCTCTCCTAGGGTCCTGAAGTGATGCCCACTCTTCATTTATTCTCCAGACATAGCACCCTCTCTCTCTCTTTCTGTTAAAGCCAGACCATGGGCTCTGCTAATTTCCCCCACTGTCTTGTCCATAAACTGTGGCTGCCAGTGCTGAGCTCTGTGGAGAGCCCTGAGCAATAGACTCCATAAACCTCCCTAAACTGGTAAACTGCAGGAAGTGTCTGGGTGTCAGCAGTCTTACAGACAGCTTAATGGGCCCCTCCTGCTCTTCCTCTCCCAGGGAGGGTGACTATATCCAGATCCATGGCCTCCACTTCTGCACCTTTCCTGTAGATAAGGACCTTGGTGAATGCCTGTGCCAGGTATCTTCTTTATGTACATGAACCAGGGGCTGTTCTTGTAAGACCCTCCTTCCATTGTTGTTTGTAATATTACCTTCTGTGAATACTATTGCAAGCCGAATGCTATGGGCAAGTGATGGCTGCTCACCTCTGTTGTCTTTCATTCATACTCAGAATATTTAGTTTGTACGTATTTCTAGAGAAGGAGTTGCAGGGAAAATCCTGGTTTTTTCCAGGGTTAACATACAGGATGGTCTCAGAAGATGCCTGGCCCTTCTGAGTGGCAACTTGGGGAAGGTATGACAAAAGGATGATGTTCATATTGTACCAGGAACCTGCTCCTGTCTAATGGTGTTTGGTGCAGGTTACAGAGGTCATTCCTCATTTATACCTTTCTTTTTCCACCCTTGACACTTTGCTGACTCATTATTTTATCAGTGACTTCCTATCTTTGGCTACCTTCACCTTTGTGTCCTTTTTACATCACCCATTCCTCTGTACATCTCTTTCTGCAGTATACTACAACATGGAACTATGCAAGTGTTAGGAGGAGCACATACGTGCTTAAACACCAGCTACTTGTTTATTGAATTTTACTTGGAATGAGATGTAACCAACCTTCTGCACAGCTTGCCCATGTCACCAGCAGAGAAGATCTACTGAATGCTGTTAACAGCAGAATGATCTGGAGAATCTGCTTCTCTTTCACGTAGTGCTTGCCATGTTTTTCTATTTCTGTTGAAGTCTCCCTTGTTTTGTGATCTTCAGTGGTCAAGAACTTCACAATGGCCTCTCATTAATCCATCTTTCCGGTCTTTCATTTTCAACCAATTGCATGAAACCAATATAGTATGTGCAATACACTTTTATAATGGGACTTCACCCTGTCAACATTCATTTCCTCATCATTTTCTGTTTTCAGGTCATTGGCATAAGATGGATGATGTGGAGGCCTATTCTGAGCACAGTGTATCTGTAGGAGAGTCTCAGGTGAGGGCTTCCAAGACAGCTGCAGCCACCCAGAGGACCCATCTGTGTAAGCCGTGCTTTTCAGTGTTAAAAGATATTTTGCACCTGACTGAGTTACAAGTGGTTTACTTTGAGAAGAATGTGTTCTTAAGTGATGCGTGTGTGAGAGACTTGTGTTCCAGTGCAGACCCTCACCAGCAACAGCAGAATGCCAGTGGAGAGAAGCCCTGGAAAGAAGATATGCAGAGGTCCTCGCTTGGGACCAGTTGCTGCTTCTACTTATCTGGGGTGCCTGCAGCTAGGACGGAGGTTGGGGAAGACTCCCCAGCCATCTCAGGCCTTATCCAGCACCAGGCCACTCTTAACACCAAGGAGCCACACAGTAACAATGAGATTTCACAGGAATGTCTCAGTGGAAAAAGATATCACCAGTGGGTTGAATGTGAAACATCTGCAAGCCAGAAACAGAAAGTTGCTTATGAGAAAGGTCTCTGCTCTGGAGATATGATTTATGAGTCTAATACATGTGGGAAAGTGTTTAGACAAATGTTTAACCACCCTCAACATGGGAGAGTTCACACTGGAGAAAAGCCCTATGAGTGTACTGATTGTGGGAAGGTCTTCAGTGAAAGCACTGCTCTAATTAAACACAACAGAATTCACATTAGAGAAAAGCGGTATAAGTGTAGTGATTGTGGGAAGTTCTTCAGTTACATGTCCAACTTCGCCAGACACTGCAGAGTTCACACTGGAGAAAAGCCATTTGGGTGTAGCAAATGTGGTAAGCATTTCAGACAAAGGACTGACCTTATTATACACCACAGAGTTCACTCTGGAGAAAAGCCATATGAATGTAGTGATTGTGGGAAGTCCTTTCGTCAAAGGGCTCACCTCGCTAAACACCACAGAGTTCACACTAGAGAAAAGATTATGAGTGTAGTGAATGTGAAAAGTCCTTCAGTCAAAGAACTGACCTCATCACACACTACAGAGTTCACACTGGAGAACAGCCGTATGAATGTAGTGATTGTGGGAAATCCTTTAGTAAAAGTGATAGCCTCAGGAAACACAAGAGAGTTCACACTGGTGAATGTAGTTAGTGTAGTGAATGTGGGAAATGTTTAGCTACAAACATAACCTGGTTAGACACCTGAGAGTTCACATTGGAGAAAAGCCGTAAACGTGCAGGGAATGTTTCCTTTTTCTCACTTAGAATAAGAACACTTGAGGAGACTCCATGGGACCCATTTAAATTAATGTAAACCCCATTTATTAATGTAAACCCCTTGGGGTCCCCTATCAGGTTCATGGATGGATGAAGTGAAGGGCCATAGAACTGCAGGCTGAGTGATGTTGGAGAACTGGGGAAGACTCTGATGGCAGAAAGGAGGAATAGAGTGTGGAGGCACCGTTTTGGGAAGACTCTAAGCCTTCGAGGAATAGCTGGAAGATCTGGCATCCCTGGAAAAGAATACGTGGATGGGTACAAATGGGGGAAAGCTGAGGGTGAAGAATACTAGGACCCTAATCCACCCCCATGAATGAGGAGCTTGATACCCCTGGAGAGGGCTGGGATGTTGGGTGGTCCTCTTGGTCCCTGAAGAGAAGGTCAATCCCTTGCCCATGTGTAAGCTATTCTGACACCTAATAGGGAAGGTGCCTGGGGTTGCTCAGAGCATCACTTTATGACCTCAGGACTCTCATCATTTACTGGGTGAGCTTGGACACCCAGGAACATTGAGACAAGGAGGGAAAATCAGGCCCAGTGCTCCCTCCAATGGGGATGGAGAGAACTATGGAGGGACCACATTTAGCACAGGTTCAGGCACAAGTAAATGAAAACCCAGGATCAACATTGATGTTAATGTCAGCATTTTTACAATCAGCCCCACCTGGTTGAGCGCTCACTCACCTGGGCAATGCAAAAGATAAAGAAACCCGGAGGAAGCATAGTGACTGGTGTTAATGTCAAAGAACATGGATGCTGGAATGCTTGCAGTCCTGTACCTTTCCTAATTAGCATTCTCAACATGTGGGTCTTCTCCTCGACCGTAGTGGGGGAACCGAGGCAGCCAGAGATTTATCAAAGATCACACTCAGAAGTGGGCTGTGAGTTCATGACCAAAGACTTCTGACCAAATTCCTTTTACTGAAACAGTGATGAACCAGAAGCCAAGGTTCTAATGACTCTAGAGCAGGGGTGGGAAAACTTTTTGACTCGAGAGCCACAATGGGTTCTTAAACTGAACCGGAGGGCTGGAACAAAAGCATGGATGGAGTGTTTGTGTGAACTAATATAAATTCAAAGTAGACATTACATAAAAGGGTACGGTCTTTTTTTTTTTTAGTTTTATTCATTTCTAACGGGCCAGATCCAGCCCGCGGGCCGTAGTTTGCCCACGGCTGCTCTAGAGCATGCAATTGCAGAGAGAACAGGAGGGAAGGTGCTTGATGTCAGTGTGGAGGGTGGGGAACTGGGTCTTTGCTGTACAATCACCCATAGGAGATGATGACATCTGTGCTCCCTGAGACTAAGACGTAAGGGGTCAGGAAAATCTCTGGGTCTAGACATACCCTTTGTGATCTCTGTAACTTCCAGCGAGATGTTAAGACTTCCATATTTTAGATTCTATTGCTTGAGGAGCCCATATTCCTCTCGGGTATTAAGGCTCATTAGAGCAGAATGATGCTCAAGATTTTAAAAATCGGAAAAGTGATATTTTACATCAGCTCTAGGTGTCAAAATGTCTTATTTTGTATTTCTGCTACCTTAAATTGAAATAAAATGTTAATACCAGAAAAAAAAGTGATGATGATGAGAATATTTACACCAGGAAAATTGCCAAATACTATAAATCTTGACTTCACTTAATGTATTATTGAGTGCTTCAACTTAAAATGAATGGTGGAGAATATTAGCAACTTAGATTAAACTTATAAATGTAATATGCAAGTAGGCATTAAATTGTACATAAGATAAAATTTGAGAATACAATTGTGCTTCCACTATTCAAAACATATAGTTCCAAATGGCAAAGAAGTCAGTTGAGTCTTTGAGGAATGAGTGAAGTGAAAACAGGTATCTTAGATGCTGAACTGTCCTCTTATTGGCTAAATCATAAATTCATTTTAAAAATTGGCAGAAATTTCTAACCAGACATTTTAACAAAAGAGATAAAGCCAATGTAAATAAATGCATCAAGAACCACTCACCATAAAAATATCTTAGGGAAACGGGTTTAAAACAAAACAAGTTAACACTATACTGATTTCCGGGCCTACAATTTAAAAATATTAAACATCACATGTGCTCACAGGAATAAAGGAAAACTAGAATTTTCATTATTGTAGGTGGCTGGGAAGGCAAAGGGAAAGACCATTTTAGATCACAGTTCTGCATATCTTAAAAGGTAAAACACTCACCTGTACTGCAAAGTTAGTTAAGTAAAACATCTACAATAATAAAAGAGAAAAATGGTAATTGGCGTACGGCGCTACCGTTTTCATTGGCTAATCAGGGCTATATGCAAATTAACTGCCAACTAAGATTGGCAGTTAACTGCCAACAAGATGGCAGTTAATTTGCATATGTAGGCACAATGCAGGGAGGCGAAAGGGAAAGCAGGAAGAAGCCCCCTGCCACTGACAGTGATCGGAAACCCCAGGGGGGAAACCCTGGGGCCGCCTTTGCCCTGCCCCCCAGCCATGATCGGAGAATCAGGTGCCTTTGCCGCCCTGGCTAGTGATAGCAGGAAGTAGGGGTGTTGCCAGCGATGGGAGCTGGGCACGGTCGAAGCTGGCAGTCCCAGGAGCTAGGGGTCCCTTGCCTGGGCCTAAAGCGGAGCCCATGATCGCGGGGCTGCTGCAGCTGCGGGTCCCCGCTGCCCAGGCCTGACGCCCAGGCCAGAGGCATTAGGCCTGGGCAGGGGCGGAGCCTGCAACCGCGGGGAGCTGGGGGGGCGGAGCCGGGCATTGGGGGGATATGATGGTCCCCTTGCCCAGGCCTGAAGCCTGGGTCAGAGGCGTCAGGCTTGGGCGGGGGGTGGAGCAAGCGATCAGAGGGAGATGGGGGTCCCCTGCCCAGGCATGATTCCTGGGCCAGAGGCCTCAGGCCTGGGCGGGGGTCAGAGCCAGTGATCGGGGGGAGATGGGGGTCCCCTGTCCAAGCCTGACACCTCTGGCGGAGGCGTCAGGCCTGGGCAAGGGGCCGATCAGGCGATCGGAGGGTGATGGGGGTCTACGCCTCTGGCCGAGGCATCAGGCCTGGGCAAGGGGCAGAGCCAGCAATCGGAGGGGTCTGGGGGCCAGAGGCATCAAGCCTGGGCTGGGGGCAGAACCAGTGATGGGGAGAAATGAGGGTCCCCTCTGACAGAGGTGTCAGGCCTGGGCAAGGGGCCGATCCTGCGATTGGAGGGTGATGGGGGTCAACGCCTGAGGGCTCCCAGTATATAAGGGGGCAGGCTGGGCTGAGGGACACTCCCTCCCCCCCACACACACACCCAATGCACGAATTTCGTGTACCGGGCCCCTAGTTCATATATATAAAAAAACTGAATGCAATATTTCCAGAAAATCCTATATAATAGAGTTAATATGCAAATTGATCCCCATGCCATAACGCCATCACAAGATGGCTGCACCCACAGCAGAGGCGGGGTTCCTGTAACACAAGATAGCTGCGCCCACAGCGGAGGCAGGGTTCCCATAGCAAGCCACAATGAGTGATCAGCAGGGACCTGAGGCTGCAACCCCTGCCCGGTGGAGCTTGATGGGATCTCAGGCCCTGCCCCCCGCCCCAGCACAAGGCCGGGGGACCTCAGGCCATGACCCACACCTGGCAGGGCTTGACAAGAGACCTCAAATCGTACCCACCACCTGGCGGGGCTTGACAGGGGACCTCAGGCCGTGCCCCCAGCCCAGCGGAGCTCGACAGGGGACCTCAAGGCACACCCTCTGCCTGGCGGGGAACCACAGGCCGCGCCTGGCAGGGCTTGATGGGGGACCTCAGGCCGCGCTCCCCACCCCAGTGCTGGGCTTGGGGACATCAGGCCGTGCCCTCCACTCCAATGCTGTGCTGGGGACCTCAGGCCACACCCCCCGCCCAGCGGGGCTTGATGTGGTACCTCAAGGCATGCCCCTTGCCCCGGTGCCAGAATAGGGGACCTCAGGCTGCACCCCCCCCCACCTGGCGGGGCTTGATGGGAGCCCTGAGGCTGTGCCCCCCCACACAGCAGTGCTTGACGGGGTTGGAGCCAGCCGGTCTGGATCTCGGCCAATGGGGGTGAGGCCAGCCAGATCTGGGTCTCATCTCAAGGCGTGTGGGTGGGCGGGGACTTGACTCTGGGTCCTGTGGCGTGCCCTAGACTCTGATAGGAAGATTTTCATATACATTTTACTAATTTTCTTTCATCTCTGACACTTCTATTACAGAGAAAGGGCAAATAGTAATATTAAAATATTTCCTATAGTTAATTCCCTTTTAATGTGCGCAAATTTCATGCACCGGGCCACTATTTTATTTATAATACCCCAAACTGGGAAATAACAAAAAACATAGATCAATAAATAAAGTGGTTATTCACAGAACACAATACTACTCAGCAATAAAAGACAATTAACTTTTCACATAAGCATTAGTGTTGAATCTCAAAATAACTGTAGCAAGAAAGAATCCAATATTTGTTAAAGAATACACACATTATAATGTTTATAACATGAAAAGTATGAACTAATCTTATAAGGAAGGAAAATCAATAACTACATTTAGATCTGGGGAAGGAAGAAAGAGATTATAAAAGGTCAAGAGGTAAATATAAGGTGTGGTAAAGTAGGTTTAGGGTTGTTGGTATGGAAAAGTTAATAAATAATAATACAAATATAAACTCCTCCCTTCCATTGTACTTCAGTTGGTTGGGCACCAATCCTTTCCCTGAAAGGTCACTGGTTCCATTCCAGGTCAGAGCACACGCCTGCCTGGATGCCCTGTAGGTGACGTGCAGGAGGCAGCAGTTCAATGTTTCTTTCTCATATCACCATTTCTCCCTCTCTCCCTTTATCTCTTTATAAAAGTTCAAGAAAAGAATGAAAAATAAAAGGTCAATAAAAGTATTTTAAATATATAAAAGACATTTTTAAAAAGAGAATAAACTTTGTGTTTTTCATACTCACATCTGTAAGCCTACTTTAGCCCTAACCTGTATATGGGTGAGAGATACGTTTATTTCACATGTGATATTTTTACAGGTTTATCCGTATGTCCAAGCTCACCACATAGTACACATTAAAAGAGTGGGTTTTGTTGCATGTCAGTTATAAATATCTGATATAATAAAAGCCTAATATGCTAAGAGTCCAACCGTCCATTTGACCATTCGACCAGTCACTATGATGCGTACTGACCACCAGGGAGTAGACAATCTGACAGGTAGGTTAGCTTGCTCCTGGGGTCTTGTTAATTGGAACTGGGCGAGATGGGCCAGGCATGCCCTGGACCTCTCCTGCAATCCCTCACAGTCCCTTCCCAGCCCGATCTTACATCGTGACTCCTTGGGGGATGTGGGAGAGCCAGTTTTGGCCTGATCCCCGCAGGCAAGGCCAAATCCATGCACCGGGCCTCTAGTACTTAAGAAAGCCTTAAAAAGTACTTCCAAATAAAGACCTAGATATCCTTGTCTTGTCAGGAAATTAAAATGGCAACCCTATATGGGCTCTACCATTTCCTAATTTCCTGGGAAGACCAGCCTTGCCTCAGGGGCAGCAAATATTGGCAAGCATTGAAGAGTACTGCCATGGAATCAACAGGAATGCAGACTGGTTACAAAAAAATACAACCTGGGATATTATAGGATTAGCCTTCCTCTAGCTCCGAGGTCTTACCAGTTGAGGAAACCTTGAGGTGAACACCCTAGATGGGCCAGGGGACTCCAAAACTCTGTGTTTATTTTTTCTGCCAATGACTTTAGCCACAGAATACAGGTATGTAGGTCCTGAGAATATCTGTACATAAAGATCACACGAGCCACAGACGTTTGATCATTTTTGAATAATGTTCAGAATAGGCATTTTTCATCCATTTTACTGAAGTCTGTCCCACTCACTATGAATACAGTGTTTCTGTAATAATTGTGGTTTCATTTAAACCTCAGAGTCTTACAACAACTGACATTACCCTATGAAATTTTATACATGACACATGGCTCCTTTATAGTATGTGTGGAAGAATTCCCCTAAACATTGCTGAGAATTATGTAATACTTATTGTGACCAGAGACTATAATTAATATTGTGCATAGAAACACAACAAAAGCCTCCTTTCCAGTGTGAACGTTGACCTCACCAATAATAGAGGCACCAGGCTGCAAATTAGAATGACAAAGTCATGCAGACTTTCTTTCAAGGCCTTGGCCAGCAATGCAAAATAACCCAATATTGGACAAAGAGTGGTTTTCTGCCATTATTATGTGCCTTCCAAAACAAAGTTTGGGATCCCACAAATGCTGAGTCATACTAATTTTCTCTCTTAAATGAAACATTAAGAATTAAGGTGCTGCCCTGCTTAGGTCACTATGTCGGTTGGAGTATCCTCCCATAAAGCACCCCCACCCCCAAAAAATGTGGCTTGTTTGATTCCTAGTAAGGGCACATAACTAGGTTGCAAATTTGATCCTTGTTTGGAAAGCATAGAGGAGGCAATTGATCCATATTTCCTTTCATATCAATACTCCCCTCCCCTGTTCCTCTCTCTCTAAAATTAACAATCAATTCCCTGGGAGAGAATTAAACAATTAAGGTATTGATGTTTCAAGT